TCAAGTGTCTGTTGATGTATACAACCCTAATTTCAAGTCAAAGCTAGCCCCTAACAATGGCCAAGAGGAAAGTTGATTCTGAAAACAGAGCCTTTTAAAACCGGTGGGAGGCTGAGTATATGTTTACTGACATTGTCGGTAAACCTGTGTGTCTTATTTGTGGAGCTAATGTGGCTGTAAGTAAGGAATATAACCTAAGATGGCACTTTGACACGAAACATCAGGACAAGCTGAAAAACATGAAGGTAGAGGAGTTGAAGAGGAATCTGACATCACAGCAGACATTTTCACCAAAGTGAAATCACACAGTGAAGCTGCTGTGAAAGCAAGTTTTATTGGGGCAGAGGAGATAGCCAAATCAGCTGCATAATGAAAGTGTGCGACATCTTGTGTACAGACAAAAAGCAGGTGTTTGCAAATGTAAGCCTTAGCAGAAATACAGTTGCTGATTTTAAGTTCAAGTTTATTTATTTTGGAAAATTATTGTATCCTGTCTGTTTCGATTCATATTTATGTTCAACAAACATTTAATTTTAGCCTGTTCAATAAACTTTTATCCCGTTTGGCCTGCGACCTAAAATGTGCTTTGAGTTTTGGCCCCCTGTGCGATTGAGTTAGACAGCCCTGCTCTAGACTGAAAAACTCTTTCTATCCTTCTGCCATCAGACTCCTAAACAGCTGACTCTGGATCTACCTCATGTAATTCCATCTGTACCATTTACATACTCATTTTGCACATGCATAATTGCACACTCACTGCTCAATATTTGCACATCACAGCTCCCACATAGCATACAGTATATTCTCTCTGAATTATGTGTTCTTGTTGTATTTTTATTGTGCTTCTTTCACTTGCTGCTTTAAAGTAGCTTAGATTTGTGTTACTGCCTATTTAGATTTGTTATTGCTCATCTACTTTATATTTCACTTGTACTGTGTGGCATTCATATGGATAGCAAAGTAAGAATTTCATTGTACAGAGAAACACGTTTCCTAACTGTGCATATGACAAACACTTTGACCTTCTTTGACCTTTGTCTGATGAGACCAAAATGGTGCTTTTTTGGCCATCAGACAAGACGCTATGTTTGGTGGACACCAAACACTGCACATCACCACAAACACACCATCCCTCCCCACGGTGAAGCACGGTGGTGGGGCAGCATCATGCTGTAGGGATGCTTCTCGGCAGCCGGCCATGGAAGGCTTGTAAACGTAGAGGGTAAAATGAATGTGGCAAAATATAGGAAAATCCTGGAGGACAATCTTTTTCAGTCTGCAAGAGAACTACGGCTTGGGAGAAGATTTATTTTCCAGCAAGACCATGACCCGAAGCATATAGTGAAAGCTACACAGAAATGGTTTAAAGACAACAAGGTGAGCGTTCTGGAGCAGCCGAGTCCAAGCCCAGACTTCAGTTCAATAAAGAATTCGTGGCTGGACTTGAAAAGGGATGTTCACGCCTGATCGCCATGCAACCTGGCAGAGGTTGAGCAGGTTTGCAAAGGAGAATGGAGTAAAATTGCAATGTCCAGATGTGCAAGCCTCACTGAGACCCATCCACACAGATTCAGTGCTGTGATAGCAGCCAAAGGTGCATCTACTAAATACTGACTTGAAGGGGGTGAATATTTATGCAATCACTTATTTCACATTACATATTTTCATTTAATTGACAATACTTTGTAGAAACCCATTTTCACTTTGACATTAAAGAGGTTTTTTGTAATTTTTTGTCAAAAAAGCCAAATTATATTGACCATGATTGATTTATCAATAAATTGATTAATCAATAAAAGGGAAAAACACCCAAGGGGGTGAATACTTTTTATAAAATCAGAATCAGCTTTAGCAAGGAAATGTGCAAGGGAACACGCAAGGGAATGTGTATTAGGAAAGAGATAAAAAAAAATAAAAAAATAAAAATGAGCACTGTACACCGGACTGAGCAACTGCTTCATATGCACATCTGGACAGTAGAAGCTCTAAGTGATGAGTTCTAAACACTGACTGTAATGGATCATTCTAACAGGCTGCTGTCCACTGTTTAAACAGGAGAAACATGGCTGTAGGTTTAAAACTGAGGAACACAATATAAATAGCTACACATCAGAACCACATTTCATGACAACATATCTATGGACATTAAATGCTTATGTTCATAACAGCACAATTAGAGTCTAAACAAGTATGGCTTTGACAAAAAGATGTCTAGGAATAGGTCCCTTCTCTCCAAAAAAGAACATGGCAGCATGACTTAGGTTTGCAGAAGTGCATCTGAACAAACCACAGCAGTTCTGGAACAGTATCCTTTGCACTGATGAGACCAAAGTGGAGCTGTTTGTTTGTCATGCTTAGTGCCATGGCTGGCGAAAACCAAATGTAGCATACCCCCATAAATACCTCATACTAACTGTCAAGCATGGTGATGAAGAGGTGATTTAGGTTTGTTTTGCAACCATAGGACCTGGAAAACATCCAGTCATTGAGACGACAATGAGCTCCACTTTATACCAGAATATTCTTGAGATTCACAAATGTGAGGCCATCTATCTGGCAGCTTAAGATGAGGTCATACACCTGGACAATGATCCCAAGCACATCAGCAAAATGATATCTGAATGGCTAAAGAGGAAAAACATCAAGGTGTTTGAACGGCCAAGTCAAAGTACTATTCCCACCTGGTTTCTGAATGTTGCTGATGTTTTGGGGACCTGTAACCACATACTTGTCTTTTTTGTTGTCACCTGGGGTTATTTTGTTTTGTTTATAGAAATTTGTGAGGTCCACACAGTTGTTTTTTTTAGTCCCTGATGAATAAAAACATAAAATAGGAGGGTGTACTTTCTTTTTATCATGAATTTAAGTCTAGATGTTTTACTCCAGATATCAGTAACACTTTATAATAACTACACCTAAAAAAAAAAAATTAAGGGATGTCTGTGTGACAGCAGTTGAAAGGATGAGAAGACGCACAGGCCAACTGATTGGAGGAAGAAGAGAATTTGTTGTTATTGATGAAAGCCATTTTCGACACAAAAGAAAGGTGTGTTATGGCAAAATATGCTGATTCCTGTAACATTTGTGTGGTAAAACTATTTCATAACATCTCTGATTTTTGTTTCAGTATGGAAGAGGAAGAATGACTGGTGGATGGAAAAGAAAGCAGTGGGTCTTTGGGATGTTAGGTGTCCAACATGACCAGGGAAGACAAAAGCCAATTCTACGTCTTGTTGAAAAAAGATCTAGGAGGCATCTAGTGCCTTTGATTGCTTGTCATGTGAGGTTAGGATCATCAATTATCAGTGATGAGTGGCGTGCTTATCGCATACTCCCTGATTTAGGGTACAACCATCACACTGTCAACCACAGCAGGTGGTATGTGGAACCCCACACAAGTGCCCATACACAGCATATTGAGAAGGCATGGAGATCATACAAGGAGCAGGTTTGGAGGCTTAGGGGAAATCGCACCGACTGTTTGCTTTCTGACCACCTTGCAGTCATTGAATGGAATGAATGGCTTGCAAAGAAACATCAGGATGGTGCATTTGGTAGGCTAATTCATGACATTGCCAGAAAGTACAAGTAGCCTAATACATAGTTGCAATATATTATTTTTGTATGTTTTAAAAACATCAAATCTGTCAGGGGAGCAGAGGGCAAAGAACAGCAGTGTCACTTGCAACTTCTTATCAGACATATTCCCAATGAGAAACAGTTTTAAACAGCAGATGTGCTGAATGAGAGGTGTTTGGTTTACAGTTTATACTTTCGCAGTCTAGCTCTTCTTCTTTCCTTTTCTGAATGGTGAATACAGATACTGCCACCTGCTGATAGGGGGAGTTATTTCTGTCACGCAAGTGCAGAATGCCGTTGGCCGTAGTCTGTGTGGTTGTTCAAGTGTCACTTTTCAACCCAACTGACACAGACAAAGCTGACGTGAGGTGACAAGGGTTGGCCTTCAGTTCTTTTATGTCATCTTGGTGTCTCTCTGCCCTTAAGACAAGCCCTGCTCTACAACAAAAGCCCACACCACATTGCTACCCTGCTCTCTGTTCCTGTTTGATATCAGAGGTTAGTGAATAGAAGCCATCGAGATCTGAAGGATAAACACACAGCAGCTGAGGCAACTATACTTTTATTTATAATAGGAAATACTTTCTGCCTGTATGTTGTGAGAGTAGGGAGGAAGGGTGAGTAACTTCATCATCCTTTACTTTCTCCTTCCTGCTTTCTCTCATCTATGCCCGTACTGTCCCCACCCCCTCAATACAGCTGGTCTGACTTCATTTTCTCTTTCCCAAGTCGTCCTGCCTCTGCTTTCACTCCTGCTTCACAGGAAAACTGGGGGCATGCAATGGCTTCATTACAGTTCAAAATAAAGAACCAAAGATGAGAGAAACTTGAGATGTGAGACTGTGGGAGACTTGTGTCACTATTGTGCTTATTTTCAAACACTGTTTCTCTCTTCCATAAACCCCAGCTCTTTGCCAACCACTCTTATGCCTATATCCTTACGTTACAGCCTATTAGGTTGTACCATTTAGTTTTATCCTAATTACTTTGATTTAGTTCTCTTATTCTTTTTATCCTATTTTACTCTACTTTCATTCTATCTTAAGTTTCCTAAATGGTAATGGCATTCAATACTAGATGAGAGAGAAATGGTAATTCAGTTTATCTGTATGTCCTGCACATATAGTGAATTGACAATAAAAATCTTTGATCTTGATGTTACTTTCCTCAGGGAAATGGGACAATTGTCCAGCAGCCACTTTCAGATATAATTTGTCCATAGATGTCTGGAAAGCCTATCGCTCCTGCCTCCGCTGTCACCACAACAACAGACGGAAGGTAGTAAAGACAAACTTACACATCAAATGCTTTCTCCTTCAGAATCTCCCTCAGTCGTTTCATGAAGACTTTCTCGCTCTCTGTTGAAGTGACAAACCCACGATCTGGAACATAAACAAAAGAAAAAATTTCAATGCTGCATTCATCATTCATGGAAACTGTCTGTTCTTAGATTTTAATGTTTTCCAGACCTCAAATTCCTCCATATAGTCAAAACATTTTGGATTGTAATTGGTGTTGAGTATGCTAGTAGTGGTTGGGGAATTCTACTGTTATGTGATTTATGCTATAGCACTTAATCATAATAATCAAGTGCATAACAGGCCTCAACAGCAGCATTTCATGTCTGTGCAAATTATAATCTTTGTAAGACCTGGACATAACATTTCCTCTCTCTATACTTTACAGATCTTTGAGTACTTGGATGCAGACCTGCACAGACAGCATACGCATTTCATCACAAAACAGCAGATTAGCCTGTGATTATTTACCACATTATTTCTATGGCAGCACTGTGTGTGGGGATGACTCAGAGTCTGGCAAAGTTTAAGTTCTTGTTTGTGGTTAAAGGTTCTATCACCAGTCACACAGATGGCTTTAAGAGTGACGATTATCTGATTTGTATTAATGGAAAATGTCATCTTACACTGGAACAGGGTTTAAGAACAAAGTTAAGTTGGGTAACATGCTGAAACAATACACTATGCCACAAAAGAGCTTGTGTTGCCTTAAACCATTGTCTTAACTGTCATAGAAAGCATAGAGGCTGAAATACAAACAGCTCATTAAAGGTTTCCTAAGGTTCTGAACATATGAATTCAATCTTTCTATTGTGTACCTGCTTCATGCATATTTTAAAGCATCCACTCTCTTAAACAAGCCGACAATTTAGGCAACCCAAGTTCACCAACCCAGGGGTTCCCAACCGTTTTTTGTGCTGCAGGATGTTTTTACTTAGAGAACAGAGAATACGAGTGAGGACAGGCATGCATATAAACAATTTTATTAGCTCTGGGTTTCATTGTGGTGACTTACCAAAATAAATAAAAAAAATTTTTAAATCATATAGACCTCTGTGTAATACTCATATTTCTTGCATTATTGAATGTTGTAAGGTGGTTACCTCTCATAGCAATGACCTACTTCAGTTAAAAAATATATATATGTATACAGTGGAGCAAATAAGTATTTGATACACTGCCAATTTTTCAAGTTTTCCCACTTATAAAGAACGGACAGATCTGTAATTTTCATCGTAGGTACACCTCAACTGTGAGAGACAGAATCTACAAAAAAATTCCAGAAAATCACATTGTTAGATTTTTAAATAATTTATTTCCATT